TTCGTGTTCCCACCGCGCCACCCCCGCCGCTGATTCCCCCATCACCACCAGCGGACCCATCCCAGTCAGAGCCTCGTCTTCCGGTCCCTGAGCCTTACTCAGGTGAAGCAAACTTCTGTCGAGCATTTTTAACCAGATGTTCTATGCATTTCTCCCTGCAACCCAGGACGTTTCACAAAGAACAGACCAAGGTGGCATTCGTGCTGATGCTTCTGACTGGGAAAGCGGCGCTATGGGGAACAGCGGTGTGGGAGAACCAAGACGAATGCTGTTCCTCGTTCCAGAGGCTCTCCGAAGAGATGCGGCGAGTCTTTGACCGGGCCGCGTCAGGAAGAGAGGCTGCCAGGGTACTGGCGGAACTTCGCCAAGGAGAGAGGTCCGTATCTGACTTTTCTATTGAATTCCGAACCCTGGCAGCCGAGAGCCGATGGAACGAGGAGGCGCAGTGGGACATGTTCCTGCATGGGCTGGCTGACCTCGTCCAGAAGGAGATCTACGCCCTGGACCTGCCCACCGGACTTAACGATCTCATCGCGCTGGCTCTGAGAGTGGATGCACGGCTGTCTCGAGTCAGCAAACGTTTTCACCCTGATCGTTTTCCTGGAGGGATCGAGGGGCAGTGTCCAGGAGGCGAGGGCGCGGTCAGCCCCATCCACGATCACGAGCCCATGCAGGTGGCTCGAGCCCGGCTTTCCCGGGAGGAGAAGGAGAGGCGGAGATCCCTGGGCCTTTGTCTATACTGTGGTGGAGCGGGACATTTCGCTTTCAATTGTCCGATTAAAAGGCCCAGCCCGGCAGTAAATATGAGGCTACTGTCGGGTGGGATCTCTGCCGAGAAGACCTCATCGACATCTACCTTCCTCCCGGTAAGGCTCCGATGGTCAACTCACCTCCACGATTGTCGGGCACTACTGGACTCAGGGGCGGAGGGTAATTTCATGGACCATTCATTTGCACTAAGATTTCAAATTCCCCTCAAACCCCTTTCACACCAGATCGTCGTTCACGCCCTCAATGGACAAAGACTCCCCACGATTTCATTGATCACCGAAGACATCACACTCATCACATCCGGCAATCATTCTGAGACTATTTCCTTTTACATTCTGGACACTCCACTAGCACCCATCGTTCTTGGTCACCCATGGCTCACCCGTCACAACCCCAAAATAGACTGGCAAATCAAATCGGTGGCATCATGGAGCAGTTTTTGTCATAAGTCCTGTCTTGTGTCTGCCTGTCCATCTGTTCCTGTTCATGTGTTACAGGAGGAGACAGTGGATTTATCAAATGTGCCCACGGAGTATCGGGATCTGAAGGAGGTGTTCAGTAAGTCTCGGGCTGATTCTCTTCCTCCGCATCGTCCCTATGACTGTGCTATAGACTTACTGCCAGGTACGTCTCCGCCTAAGGGCAAGTTATATTCACTCTCTGTCCCAGAGAGAGAGGTCATGGAGAAATACATTTCTGATTCTCTAGCAACGGGATTCATCCGCCCTTCCTCTTCTCCAGCGGGGGCGGGGTTCTTTTTTGTGGGGAAGAAAGATGGATCGTTGCGACCTTGTATTGATTACCGGGGGTTGAACAACATCACGGTAAAGAATACTTATCCTTTGCCGTTGATGTCTTCAGCTTTCGAGAGGTTGCAAGGAGCATCTATCTTCACAAAACTGGATTTAAGGAATGCTTATCATTTGGTCCGCATCAGGGAGGGGGATGAATGGAAGACCGCTTTTAACACCCCTAGGGGGCACTTTGAATATTTGGTTATGCCGTTCGGCCTTTCCAACTCCCCAGCGGTCTTCCAAGCACTTGTCAATGACGTGTTGCGAGACATGATCGATCAGTTCATATATGTCTACCTGGATGATATATAGATTTTTTCTTCGTCTCTCCAGGAACACGTGCAACACGTTCGACAAGTGCTTCAGAGGTTGCTAGAGAATGGGCTTTTTGTCAAGGCGGAGAAATGCGTTTTTCATGCACAGTCTGTTCCTTTTCTAGGTCACATAATCTCGGTTGAGGGAATGCGCATGGATCCTGACAAGGTTAAGGCTGTGGTGAATTGGCCAAGTCCAGATTCCCGTAAGGCCCTACTGAGGTTTCTGGGGTTCGCCAATTTTTACCGGCGTTTTATTCGCAATTTCAGCCGACTAGCCGCGCCTCTGACCGCCTTGACCTCCCCCAGAACGACGTTCAGGTGGTCAGACGCAGCAGAAGCTGCTTTTGCCAAACTGAAGGGTTGCTTCGTTTCAGCCCCCATCCTGATAACCCCTGATCCATCATGTCAGTTCGTGGTGGAGGTCGATGCGTCAGAGGTGGGGGTAGGTGCAGTGTTATCCCAGCGCTCTCCTTCAGACGACAAGATGCACCCTTGCGCGTTTTTTTCGCATCGTTTATCCCCTGCCGAAAGCAATTATGACATTGGCAACAGAGAATTGTTGGCGGTCAAGTTAGCTTTGGAGGAGTGGCGCCACTGGTTAGAAGGGTTAGGGGTACCTTTTATCGTCTGGACCGACCACAAGAATCTGGAATACATTCGTACTGCTAAAAGACTTAATTCCAGGCAGGCTCGGTGGGCTCTTTTTTTCGGACGTTTTGACTTTACTCTCTCGTACCGCCCGGGTTCCAAAAACATCAAACCTGATTCTTTATCGCGCATTTTTGACCGTTCCGATCGCCCGTCTACTCCCGAGTGCATTTTACCAGAGAATCTATTCATCTCTTCACTCACATGGGAGGTCGAATCGAAGGTCAAGAAGGCCTTAGAAGGGGTAACGCCTCCGACTCGTTGCCCACCGAACCGTTTGTTTGTGCCAGAGAGTTTACGGTCCAGCGTCATTCAGTGGGGTCATTGTTCCAATGTGGCTTGTCATCCAGGAGTCAATCGTACTATGTTTTTGGTTAAGCAACGATTCTGGTGGCCTCTCATGGCTCGTGACGTTCGCAGTTTTGTATTGGCTTGCTCAGTTTGTGCCACGGGTAAGACTTCCAATCAACCTCCAGATGGGTTACTCCAACCGCTGCCGGTGCCTTCGAGACCCTGGTCCCATATCGCGCTAGATTTTATCACCGCCCTCCCACCCTCCCAGGGTCACACGGTAGTTTTGACCGTGGTGGACCGGTTCTCGAAGGCGGCCCATTTCATTCCCTTGCCCAAATTACTTTCAGCCAAGGAGACAGCGTTGGTTGTCGTTGACCACGTCTTTCGGCTTCATGGCCTCCCGACAGACGTGGTTTCTGACAGAGGACCCCAATTTGTGTCCAAATTTTGGCGAGAGTTTTGTAAACTTCTGGGGGCGACTGTCAGTCTGTCCTCTGGGTTCCATCCCCAGAGCAATGGTCAAACTGAGCGAGCCAACCAAGATTTGGCGAGAACGTTGCGATGTTTAGTGTCCAAGAATCCTTCCTCCTGGAGTCAGCAATTGTCTATGGTGGAGTACGCCCACAACACGTTGCCAGTGTCATCCACGGGCCTATCACCATTTGAGTGTAGTGTAGGTTACCAGCCACCAATTTTTTCTAGTCTGGAATCCGAAGTCGCGGTCCCCTCCGCCCACGCCTTCGTCCAGAGGTGTCACCGCACTTGGACTAGAGCCCGTGAGACTCTACTCCAAGTGGGGGCGCGCACCAAGGCCAAAGCCGATCGCCACCGGCGGAGGCCTCCCGTATACGTCGTCGGTTCTAAAGTGTGGCTTTCTACCAAGGACATTCCTCTCCGCTCCGTTTCAAATAAGCTCGCACCTAAATTTATTGGCCCATTCTCTGTCACCAAAATCATTAGTCCGGTGACAGTCCGCCTTAATCTTCCTCCAGTGTACAGGAGGATTCATCCCGTCTTTCACGTTTCCAAAATTAAGCCCGTATTTTTTGCTCGTATTAATCCGCCTGTCCCGGTTCCCCCCCCCGCCGCGTCTCGTAGACGGGGAACCTACTTATTCGGTCAATCGTGTTCTGGACTCGAGACGGAGGGGGCGCGGATTCCAGTACTTGGTGGACTGGGAAGGTTACGGTCCGGAGGAGAGAAGTTGGGTACCGGCTAGAGACATCCTGGATCACTCCCTTATCGATGATTACAATCGGCAGGTAAGGGAGTCTGGGAACGCCAGGAGGCGTTCCTAGGGAAGGGGGTACTGTCACGGTTGGTAAATCCTATGTCTGCTCCTTGTCTCGTGGTTCTGTTATTGTATGTGTTGTGTGCTGATTAGAGGGGCGTGGCCGCTCATCAGCGCTCGTCAGCAATCACCCATCATCAGCTGCAGTCTATCATTCATGTGTATATATTCTCATCAACTTCTCATCTCCTTTGTCAGATCGTTGTTTGTGGTTCCCGGTGTGTGTGTTCCCAGTCTCGTTCAGTCGTGTGCTTCTCTTGTTCCGGTTCTTGTTCGTTGGATGTTGGATTACTGTTCGTTGTTGGATTTTCACCACCACTACCACTACACGCTGCACTGTCTTCTGACCATTGGAGTCCCTGCGCTACTAACCTGTTTGCCTGGACTTTGGACTGCCTATCTATTCCATCATTTCAATAAAAAAGTTAACTGCAATTGCTTCCGTTTGATCACTCATGACAGCTAAGCTATGCTAAAAGTGGTACCGCCAGAACCGGAGATCGGCTGAATGGATTCAAAAACGGTAAAACTCAACAGTTTAACTCTGGGGGAGTTGTAAAATGAGCCTATTTCCAACAAAAGTGGAGTATCCCTTTAAGGGTTTAAACTGACAACCCTACAGGTCTCTGACGACTAGGGCAGGCCGGCCAGCAGTGTTGTACCTCAGCTTGCAAACTAGGTCAGTGAAGCTGGGTCTTTTCATTTTATTTTTTTAATATAATTGTTTTGAATGTGTATTATTATTTACAATTTTAATATTTATTTATAATAATTGTAATATATAATTTTATATAATATTAATTTTTCCCTCAATATTCACTTACTGTAAGTGTTGGTCAGTTTGTATTATTTTTATTAGGCATTTGATGACTATCAGTGTCATACCTCAGTTTGCACACTAGCTCAGCGAAGCTGGGTCTCTCACGGGGGATGTAGGCCCAGCAGTGGGTCATGAGGGAGTAAAGGGTTGGCGGGCACCTCTCGGGTTTAGGTAGACGGACACCCTGCTCCAGCTGGTTTATCACATCCTTGTTCTCCAGCCAGAAGAAAGGCTGCTGGCCCCCACTCATGATCTCCCACATGCACACAGCTGAAAGGAGAAGCACAGGAAGCCGCCAAGAATCAGGAACTACAAATGCGTCTTCTGAACTGCTTTAGACGTTCATTGCAAAACTTTGATTGTGAAAAGTTTGGTTCGTCACAAGAATCAGCATTAAAACAACAGGAAATAGGGATTTACACCATTACGATGGCTTGAAAAATCCTGATTATTACATTGATTTATTGCCTAATATGATCAAAACAGTGATTCAGCTTTGAAAAGTCTGCATTGCGCTTTGCAAACGTGACACAACACGTCGTGCATCCTTAAACGCATTCATCTCACTAACGCTACGTCACTCTTCACAAGTCACTAACCAAACATCCAGACATCACTGGCCGAGGTAAATCGTCTGAAGTTGATGGACTCTGGCGCCATCCATTTGATAGGTAATCGAGTCACGGAGGCTTCGGAGAGAGAACAAAGTGTCATTTGACAGCATTCGGCATAAGAAATGAGAGTGAAATGAAACTGCTATATTAGTGTGAGTTAGATGAAAATAGAGAGATATGTGACGTCTAGTCAGAGCTTGCCTTTGTAATACTCTTCCTCTTCTATGTATCTGGACAAGCCAAAGTCTCCCAGCTTCACACAGTCATGTTTGGCAACCAGCACATTTCTCACAGCAATGTCTCTGATGGGAAAACAGTGAACTGAGTAACTTGATTATCTATGCACCACTAAAATAGGCTTTGTACAACCACTTGCATGAGATACTATATAGATGATTATCTAAAGAAGATATGAAAACACCTACAATAAAACGCTGTTTAATTTATAATGCACGTGTGATGTGTGAGAAATCAAGTCTTGATTTTGTGTTTTAAAAGTTATACTTTTATAATAATTCATAAATAATACCTTTATTCAGCAGTGATGCATTAAATGGATCAAAAGCAAAGACATTTCAAATGTTAGAAAGATTTCTATTTTAAATATATCCTGCTCTGTTGAACTTTCTATTCACAAATAATCCTTAAAAAAAGAATCTTCTACAAAAATATTATACAGCAAAACTGTTCTCAACAGTGATTTTATATAAACAATAAAAAATGTTTTTTAGTGGCAAATCATCAACTAAGAATGATTTATGAAGGATCATGTGGTTCTTTGACAAAGTTATCATCATCATCATCATTAGTAATGATACTGAAAATTCAGCTTTTCATCACAGAAACAAATTACATTTTAAAATATAGTCAAATAGAAGACAGTTATTTTAAATTGTAATATTATTTGACAGTATTATAGTCTTTGTTTTTGATCAAATAAATGCAGCCTTGGTAAGCAGAAGAGACTTCTTTTAAAGAATTGGTAAAACAAAATCTAAAAGTAAATATCAACCATGAACAATTTATTGTGTCATTACCAATGTTTTAAAATATTATTTGTGTATTTAGAACACCTATAATTCTAGCTACAAAATTGGCAAGACAAATGTGTCAGCATCTTTATTCCAATTTAAAATGCTATTGAAAAATGCTCATGAATCTGAAAAAAAATACTGTACTGTACATCTATTATTGCACATTGTTAGAAAACAAATAAAACTTAGATAGATGTGTGTAGCACAAAGACGAATAATTAAAACTCAAGTTAGAAAAGCCCTTCTGTTCTTCACAAAAGTGTTTTTTTTTTAAACGATAACCAACCGAGAGCAAATGCCCCAAATTTCAAACTAACAAGGTAATAATTAATATTCACAATAATAGCATAATATATTTAAGCAAAGAGATGTTTAATTTTGGACACACAGGTCAGAAAGTGCATCGGCGTACCTGTGTACCATGTTAACACCCTCTAGGTAAGCCAGGGCTTTACTGATCTGCACGCTGTACAGGATCAGGGTGATATTGGTTAGTTTCTGCTGGTTCTCCGTCAGGTAATTTCCTAGCTGAAGTAATCACAGAAAAAATAGGATGATATTAAAGTCTGATTAACAATATTGCATAATGTACTGTTATATGAGCAGTGCAGGATTTACCCTTTATTGTGACACTAGAGAAGAGTGATTGTTAACAGATGTAACAGAAAGTACCTTTGGAAGCCAATATACTGGAAAACAATCCTATTCCCTTAATGAGCAATTTTGTGTGATTTAACAATACTATTATTGTCTGGGTTCTGTCACTTCAATCTGGTTTATTCTTGGTTTGGTGACACTCCTATCGTCTTACATGAGGTTTCGAGTTCATCCGTGTGATGTGTTGGATTTAAGAAACCCTTTATGCCAAAAAGGTTCAATATAAGAAGAAATATCTTAAAAGATTGCATAATACTTTCATGTTTAACGGGTTATTTCAGTGATAAAGTATGTTTACGAGCGGCTTAATTCAAAGGGCCTTATCATACACCCGGCGCAATGCAGCACAAGTGTTTTTTGCTAGTTTCAGCCTGACGCAGTTATCATTTTCACATCCTGTGCCATGTTGTTTAAATAGCAAATGCATTTGAGCCCATCTGTGCACCCATGGGCGTGCTGGTCTAAAAAACGAGGTGTGTTCAGGCGCATTGTTGGCGGGTTGCTATTTTGAGGCAACTGAAATAGACTGCGCCATTGACCAACAAAAACCTGGTCTAAAGTCAACGGCGCACAATTTTTTTTGTTATTTAAAGAGCGTGTTATTAATATGCGCTTATAGGCGGGTCCACAACGCACGTACACTTTGTCCCGTAGATGGTCTGCTTGCTCGCTTTAACCTTGCGCACAAGCAGATCCGTTTCCTCGCTAGAGAAGCGTTCGGTTTTTCCGCTTGCACATTTCGTCATGTAAATAGCGAATCCGCCATGGCGCGAGCACAACTGGCTTTTAAAGGGAATGGGAGATGAGATTGATTGGTTTATTGCACGTTATGCCCAAAACACACCCGTTACTCATTAAGAGAATATGGACAACCCTTTTAGACCATGCGTGGGGCTTGGCAAACTTTTTTCCTGTCGTTAAACTAGCAAAAGTGGATTGGACACAACCTAAGTGCACTTGCGTATAGAACATGGGCTTAGATTGTTAAAATAGGGCCCAAAAACTTTAATAAGGTTAAAAATTTATGAAAACAAAATAAATTAAAACTAAATCCATAAAATGGTCCTATAAAAGGTTATATATATGAAGCGTCTGACAGAACTGTTTACATGTTCTATGGAGAACCTTCTTTTCTAAGAGTGCAGAATTTAAACCCGTCTCATATTTGTATAAGTTTGCATCATTATGTTATTTTCCTGTTTATTGCTGTGAAACTGAATAAAGGTGACTTGACTATTTTCCTGTAAATGAGCAAACCGTTGTCAAGCTTGAAATCAATTAAATAAATGAATCTCACCTCTCCATACTGGTAAAGCTCCATGACAATCCACACCGGATCCTCTTCGATAACTCCTATGAGTCTCACAATGTGTGGATGGTCCAGTTTCTTCATGATCACTGCATGATAAACAATGTTTTAAGGGTTTTATTGTTCTATTTAGACATCAATTTGATTCTACAGGTGAAGGACAAAATAAGCTCAGTGAAGCCATGGATTACAGTGAATTTAGAACCGCCAAGCAATGTAGTTCTTCAGAAGCGGAATGGTTTCCAAGCAACACACAGACGCAGTGGTGCAGTAATACTGATGTGATGCGGTCACAGGTGTATGTTTGTAGAGTAATTTACAACAGGTTTAAATCAGCTAAAGGTTTAAAGCAGCTCAGCCAATCATATTCAGGGACCGGAATTATCCGTTTTATGACAACTTACAAGCTTCACTCATGAACTTCTCCTTCACATCAGCTGTGCAGTCCTTGCATGTCTTTACAGCTACATTCACTCGCTCCCCTGTCTAAAAGAAGACACAAGATTTGTGAGGTTCCTTTTCCAGAAAGCTGAACTTGAATAGGTTTCTAGCGATTTCTACTAAATCCTTGTGATCCGCTGTATATTTTGGCCTGTAGGTGTGTGACTGATGCACTAACCTTGCTTTTATAAATCCCATCGTGAACCTCACCAAAGAAACCTTCGCCCAGAATCCGACCGAGCACAACGTCGTTCCGTGAAAGGCTGAATTTACATGCTGGAATATAAGGGGATTGCGTTAAAGATGTCAAAATAAATAAATAATAATAAAAAAAACAATCAATCCCTTAAAATATATTTTTGTTCTTACATTCAACTGGTTTATTTTCTGGTATCTCTGAATAAATATCTGAACCTGTGAAAAAAAAAAACATTTAATGAAACAAAAAAAAATATTTATCTAACAATCTTTTATAAAATGCAGATATATAGGCAGTATATACAGGTCCTTCTCAAAACATTTGCATATTGTGATAAAGTTCATTATTTTCCATAATGTAATGATAAAAATTAAACTTTCATATATTTTAGATTCATTGCACACCAACTGAAATATTCCAGGTCTTTTATTGTTTTAATACTGATGATTTTGGCATACAGCTCATGAAAACCCAAAATTCCTGTCTCAAAAAATTAGCATATCATGAAAAGGGTCTCTAAACGAGCTATTAACCTAATCATCTGAATCAACTAATTAACTCTAAACACCTGCAAAAGATTCCTGAGGCTTTTGAAAACTCCCAGGCTGTTTCATTATTCAAAACCGCAATCATGGGTAAGACTGCCGACCTGACTGCTGTCCAGAAGGCCATCATTGACACCCTCAAGCAAGAGGGTAAGACACAGAAAGAAATTTCTGAAGAAATAGGCTGTTCCCAGAGTGCTGTATCAAGGCACCTCAGTGGGAAGTCTGTGAGAAGGAAAAAGTGTGGCAAAAAACGCTGCACAACGAGAAGAGGTGACCGGACCCTGAGGAAGATTGTGGAGAAGGACCGATTCCAGACCTTGGGGGACCTGCGGAAGCAGTGGACTGAGTCTGGAGTAGAAACATCCAGAGCCACCGTGCACAGGCGTGTGCAGGAAATGGGCTACAGGTGCCGCATTCCCCAGGTCAAGCCACTTTTGAACCAGAAACAGCGGCAGAAGCGCCTGACCTGGGCTACAGAGAAGCAGCACTGGACTGTTGCTCAGTTTTGCATGTCATTCGGAAATCAAGGTGCCAGAGTCTGGAGGAAGACTGGGGAGAAGGAAATGCCAAAATGCCTGAAGTCCAGTGTCATGTACCCACAGTCAGTGATGGTCTGGGGTGCCATGTCAGCTGCTGGTGTTGGTGCACTGTGTTTTATCAAGGGCAGGGTCAATGCAGCTAGCTATCAGGAGATTTTGGAGCACTTCATGCTTCCATCTGCTGAAAAGCTTGTGTGGAGATGAAGATTTCATTTTTCAGCACGACCTGGCACCTGCTCACAGTGCCAAAACCACTGGTAAATGGTTTACTGACCATGGTATTACTGTGCTCAATTGGCCTGCCAGCTCTCCTGACCTGAACCCCATAGAGAATCTGTGGGATATTGTGAAGAGAAAGTTGAGAGACGCAAGACCCAACACTCTGGATGAGCTTAAGGCCGCTATCGAAGCATCCTGGGCCTCCATAACACCTCAGCAGTGCCACAGGCTGATTGCCTCCATGCCACGCCGCATTGAAGCAGTCATTTCTGCAAAAGGATTCCCGACCAAGTATTGACTATTGAGTGCATAACTGAACATAATTATTTGAAGGTTGACTTTTTTTTTTTGTATTAAAAACACTTATTTTATTGGTCGGATGAAATATGCTAATTTTTTGAGACAGGAATTTTGGGTTTTCATGAGCTGTATGCCAAAATCATCAGTATTAAAACAATAAAAGACCTGAAATATTTCAGTTGGTGTGCAATGAATCTAAAATATATGAAAGTTTAATTTTTATCATTACATTATGCAAAATAATGAACTTTATCACAATGTGCTAATTTTTTGAGAAGGACCTGTATATTGTTTTACATACTTTTACTTTCCATGTTAGATCTGGTGTTTTCCATACTGCTTTGCAATAGAAAATTAGAAAATTAGACAGGATCAATGAGAAAGAATCAGAATTTAAATAAGAAATATAAAATATAAATCAAATAAATAAGTTAAATAAAAAGTTAGATAAAGTAAGATATATATATCTCCCCATACTGCTTTGAAATAGAAGATTAGACAGGATCAATCAGACAGAGTCAGGTATAAAACTATCAAATTAAATGATATAGGACAAAATACAGAAAAAGCCAAACATCACTGCTCACCTGCAGGGTAAAGGAGGTAGAGAGATTCGAGCATCTCTGTCTGGTAAACACAAACGGTAGTTTGTTATTCATATGGTGGCAAACACAGCGTACACTATGTGTTTTATACTAGCGATGGTAACGCACTGATGAGGCGAGTCAAAAACTGTTGAAGCAGAAGAACTATTTCCATTGGTTTCATTGTGGATACTAATTTACGATAGATGATGATGTTGGTTTCATGCCCTGGTGACAATAATAACACATATGCACCTTTATTAGGCCGCACTATTAAAGTCGTCTCGTTTCCATGCTCCAAACGACAGTAGCCATCAATTAAATCCACCATGTTCTCTGCGATGGCCAGAGATGCGGTGCTGATAGACAAAGGCTGAAAAAGACAAAACAGAAAGGCCAAATCTTTTAATATGCATTATTTTAATCTTCATAAGAAAGTCAAGGAAGGTAAACCGATCAATCAAGCATTCATTTCAACAAATATGTTCAGACACATTTAGATGCATTTACCTGTTTAGCTCCGTCTATAGATATATGTAGCAGTGTCTTTCCGTCATCCTGAAGGGTGTATTTAATACTGCGAATTTGCGCAAATGTGGCTAGACAGACCGGCTAATGAGGACACAAAGAAAGCCATGTTAATATACATTTTAATTTTTTTAAATATTGGGTATAGAAATCAAACGCATATGAATCAAAAGTTGGCTTAGCAAATAGATATTTCCTTCAGTTATTTTCATGCCTAATTATGCCTGTACATTTTAATTATGTACAATAAAAATGTATTGTAAGAGCTACTGTTACTTTCACTGTTCATATTGTTGCTCTGTCATATTTTATCTTTAATTTAATAGCACAGTTAATATTTAGAGCTGCTCCAGCAGGGCTCAACCAGTCAAGAGCAGTGAGTGATGTGCTCTTTGTCTTTTGTTGTTAGATTAACATTGAGGACAAAGACAGCAGTAGGTTTATTAGGCTGCTGTCACTTTAAGAGCATGTATCCAACATACACGTTTTCATTTCAACAGTTTACGTTCACTTAAGAAATAACCGACTATACGGCATTTTGACAATTTTGTTTAAATTTGTCTGTTCAAGCTCAAGATGACATGAAAGAGAACTAGATTCAATAGTCTATTCACCTATATAACTTTTATAGCCATGTTTTGTGGCTATTCACGCGCTGTCTGGGGGGCAGCTTTCTGGGCGCGCTTCGGATGTTTGCGTACAGAAAACAAAATTATTAATTATTAATTACATTTGGAATTTAATTAAATCAATTTGTCTATTTACCCTTCCTTTTAGGACCTTCTACTTTTTACTTTGACCTTATTTTAGTTATTTTACCATCACTATCTTCCCTCTCTGTATAGGATTACAGTAGTTCTAGCAATGAGTTATACCAGTTATTAGTAACCCTTATTCCTGTTTCTTCTCTACCCCTCCTCACTCCTTAGTGCCAGGCCTAGTGCAAGAAGAACGGCTACCGATAAACACACTGTAGGCCTCATATAGAACTAGAAACACTTCCCATTGTTTGTCTTTCTTTTTGACCTTGAGGTGTTTGGTGTGTCCCTGCTAGATAAGCTAACAGGCTACCCTAGGTTTATAAGTCTACTGCAGCATCACCCACAATTGACACTTTTATAGCCATATCTTCAAGCTAAAAATAAATAGGTAAAAACCCTCCTTACTTCCTTTCACTTTCTGATTTTATCTTATTGTTTTGTTTTACTTTTACTTGTTACCCTCGCAGTGACAACCTGTGAGAAGAACCATCTGTATTTTGAATAACAGTTTGACGACAAGTACAAGCAGGGTCTTGGCACTGTTCGATCGCGTCCGCGCCTCACACACACACACACACACACACACACACACTAGCGTTGCAATCTTGACATCGCAGCCTGTTCCTTAGCCGTATCAAAATATAATCATAAAATTGTCAACCTAATATATAAAAATTGCACTGCTCTGTTTAAATAGTCACTTACAATTTATACCATTCAGCGTAAGCAATGTACACATTTTTGCACATGTGAAGAGGATGATTTTTTCCCTCGATATTGGAACGTGAGTGAAGTACAAAGCCTATAATAAAGAATAGTTTACCATCCAAATACATGGCGAATGTTGAAACATTTTGATTGTAATGAGAGAGATACCCGAGCCCAAGGCCGCTTACTTTTGCTTTAAATTATTTCGTTTTGGCTTGTCGCGGCCACAGGTGAAGGAGGGATTTCAGCGGTATCATCACCAAAAAAATTGCCTATTTTTGGAATGTATGTTTCAAATTGTAGACTAATTACAATTTATTTTCTCTTTTTAATTTTCTTTTAGTGCTCACGCTTAACTGCTTCTCCATCTTCCCACCGATTTTAAATTTCAGAGCGTCAAGTCACGCGAGTCGACGTGACAGCTCGCACTCGCTCGCTGCGCAGGAAGACAGACACAGTTTTTGACGTGATTTAACATAATATTTTGATCTAACGGGTTGCAAAAATCTGCATATAATTGGGAAAGCGAGGACGGCGTTTATAACGTAATGATCTAACATAATATTTGATGGTGCCCAGGGCCCCTTAAGATGTCCTGTGCCCCTGGGCAAGTGACCAGTTGCCCTAATGGTTAATCCGGCCCGGCGTACAAGCCTTTCTGGCTCTGGCGGTGGCACTACCAACAGCTGGCCAGAGCAAGCAGAGGACGAGTGCAGAACTGTCTCCATGGCAACAGCCCAGGTACCAGCCAAGACACTGGGAGAAGCCATGGAAGACAGCACCCTCAACCTGCAAACACCACAGGATGACCAACCGCAGTCGACAACAAAATCCTCCCTCACATCCTTCACACAGTGTCAATCGGAGGCTGCACAAGGACAGGCGGACAAGCCTGCCTCAAATGTTACACAGCTGGCACAAGCAAGACAGCTCCCTGAACAGGACTCACCAAAGGAGTACTGCGAAGGACAAGGTTCTGACTCCTTGCCCAACACAGCTCAAGCAAGCTCAAGTCAGCACCACCAGTGCTTTTTAACATCTTCCTCATATATGTCACCCAGCTTCTCCATAAGGAGACTGAAGACAGTGGGGGGACTCAGGAGACTGCAGGCAACCACCAAACTGCACAGAGTGAGGAGAGTTGAGCCGCAGTATGCCGATGACTGCGCTCTCCTATCTCACTCTTCACAAGACCTCTAGTCCGTCTTAGATGCAGCAGTGAGGGCATATAGCAGGATGGGGTTGACCATCAACACTGCCAAAACAGTGGTAATCTGCCAGTAGAGTGCGAACATCCCACCCGCACCACCCATCTTCTCTGTTGCAGATGAAAACCTGTCAGTTGTTCCATCATTCAAATACCTGGGGAGCAATATCTCTGAAGACAATAGTATTGACAATGAGGTCCAGAACAGAATCAAACAAGCATCAGCGGCCTTTGGAAGACTCCGGCGGCGGGTTTTTCAGAATAAGAATCTTCATCTCAACACAAAATTCTGCGTCTACCAAGCGGTCTGCATCACCACGCTCCTCTACAGCTGTGAAGCCTGGGCTACTTACAGCCGCCACATCAAGTCCCTGGAACACTTCCACATCTGCTGTCTCCAGAGCATACTGGGAATCACTTGGCGTGACAGAGTGCCTCACACTGAGATCCTTAGGTTGCAAGAGTATTGAGGCCACTAGTGTTGTCACGGTACCAAAATTTCAGTATTCGGTACCAATACCAGTGAAAATCCACGGTTCTCGGTACCAATTTCGGTACCAAAGCTTAATTTAGATTAAATTTACATATTTTAAAGTGTATATCACGGTTACAAAGATGGAAATTGTAGTATTAAAAACACTTTACAAAAAGATTCTATTTGATAGATAACATTAGATAAAATGACCTAACAAACAATAGTTATATACTGTAGCAATTATTCTCCTTGGGGTTAATTTAAAAATGTACTAATACATTTTTTAAATCAAAAGTTTTATCTGTTAACATTATTTAATGCACAATGAATGAAGTGAACAATCATGAACAATCAAGTATTTGTATTAAATAACATTCATAAACATTAATCAATGTTGTAAAAAATATATTGTTCACTCAATGTGTAGATGGATAACGCATTAATGTTAATGAATGCTATCTTATTGTAGTGTTACCAAACTATACAGGAGATAAAACATGTTTTATTTGACTTAACTGTACTTTTATTTGATCCAAAACTGCCAAAAATGTCACTCTTGCCTGATGTCTTCAAAGCTTGAGAACCCTGTAGCTGATTTCTAATGCAAGGGCTAGAAATCAATTAATCCTTTGCTGATACTTCCTCTTCATCATGGCGAGCGCTGTTCGCACTGTTTTCTCCTTCTCTCCACAAGCGCTCGCTCTCGCATGTCTCCACTATGCAACCATAAACAGTGACGCGCCTGGAAAAACAAGCTCGCACATCGCTTCTATTATTAAGCGCGCTTCCCGCGCGCCTACATTTGAAATTTGCACGCGCAAAAACGCGCTGTGTGAACGGCCCTTTATGGCAACGTGACATTAGCCTAATTCAACATATTTCCATATGTGGCTCTTTCCTCCTTTCTTGTTAACAAGTGGATTCAGAGCCAACGCATTAGCAGCGCCGCCGGTCGCCATGTCTCAGTGTTTTTATGAAGAGGACGCAACTTTGCACCTTTCAGACAGCGCATCAAGAACCGGATTAACCCGGTACTCGGTACCTAGAAAAGCTGGTACCGTAACCGTTTTTTTTTTTTAAGTACCGACTTGGTACCGAAGTACCGAGTTTTTTGACAACACTAGAGGCCACAATCACCCAGCACCAACTACGCTGGCTGGGGCATGTCATAAGGATGCCCTACAACCGTCTGCCCCGCAGAGTTCTATATGGCCAGCTACAACAAGGCCAGCGCTCTGCTGGAGGCCAGAAGAAACGCTTTAAAGACCAATTGAAGTGCGTAAGAAGTGCAAAATAAAACCCTGGGAACTTGGGGAATATGGCTGCTGACCGAAACATCTGGCGGCAGCTATGTCTAGATGGGACCCAAGAACTGGAGGAGGAAAGGACAGTCAGGAGACAACAAAGAGGGCTCAGGAGAAACACTCCCATACCAGTAACACCAATACCATGTATATATGCCCCACCTGCAATAGAACCTGTGGATCCAGGAATGGACTATTCAGCCATCAGAAAACTCACCATTAAAAGACAGAAGTGGACGTCATCATCGGATTCGATGGACAACTACAAGCAAGCAAGGGACAGTAAACCCGGTTCAACCCTGAGGTCGTGGGCCGGCAGGCCCAACACATCAAGCCATGCGCAACTTCCTCGACCATGACGGAGTGGAACTAACCATGCAATTTCATCATATCTTCTTCATTCAATGCAGAATAAATCGGTTGCAACTTCAACGCCATAGACTCACAGAACCATCAAATCGGGAACTTAACGAAACTGCTTCAACTGCAATGCAAGTATCGTACAATTAACTGACTAAACAGAGGTTTAGCAATAAGCTGTAAACCCTTTTACGAGGCTTTGAAAATAATAAGCTGATGGTTCTTTTCATAGTAAAATTAATCTTTCCATTGCTTCATTCCCAGTTTGCGTTTCATTCTGTCACTTACCATTTTACCCATGTATGTGTGATTGTGTGTATGTGTTTGTTTAGATTAGTTGTGTTCGTGACTTAGTTAATACAACTTGTGCACAATACATATTTGGTTCTGATTCTCTGCTTGCAGCAAGTCAATTTAACGATTTCTGGTCTTGTTACACGCTCTAACGCTGTACATGCTAAGAAAGAATGTTTTTTCTGTGCCCATGAAAAATACCCTTAGAATTAATGAATAGTAAAAAGTGTTCGTTGGACGAACTGATTAATTGATTTTAATATCAATTTAGCCAAATCAAGTTAATCTTGATGTAGCTAACAAGTTATGATTAATTATTAATATAATTAATATTTCCTCTCTGAGCTAATTTGTTACAAAAGTTTTATTAAGTTTATTTTAAGTTTTTTTATTTCATTTTTTCATTTAAAAAAAAAAAACGCTTCAGTGCGCCGGCGCTCTGGCAACGGTTAAGAGGTTAAGCTAAAGCTAAAGTTTAAGTGTGTTACTAAAATAACACACTTAAACTGAAACTAACACTAATAAAAAACACAACAAAGTTTTTAAAACTTCAACTAAAATATTACTAAAATACAAATTTTAATAAAATAACATGAATAAAAATATGAATATTACTATAATAGTATGTCAATTTTACTAAAACTAACACATGATCAAAAATAAATAGTAATATATAGACATCTCGAGTGTATTTGGGTTACTCTATTTGACACCATTGATTATGAGGCTACATTTTTTCCATTGTGGTCAATTGACAAATAGAAGTGGTGGTTATCGCTTTTGATGTGCGAGTGCTGCTTTTCAGAGAAAAGCCTGAGCGGTGGGATTAACATGTTAGGGGATGTTATTCTTACCACAGAGCTTTTGTCTGTGCGTTGCCGAATACCTTTGGGGCCGATGACCAGATCCACAGAGACGCTCCATCCTTGCTACAGAAGAATCAGACATTTGCAGCATTTACGGCATCACAATTACAGCTTGATCTACATTGGTCACCTAAACTATACTTGAATCAATGTCATGGATGCAAAAGATAACAAAATGTCAAAGCGACATGATATCTATGCAACAGAAAGATAACACAAGCACATTTTTCAAGTAAAACATTTAGCAAAAGACGATTATTATGTTTAAAACGATAAAAAAAAATGTATATTAAAAGTATTAATCTGATTTCATAGCCATTGCAAAAGTGACATTTTTGCAGCATGTGATTGCAAATAACGTTTGCTTCAAGATTGTTATCTAATGCAACATTGTGTGCCCTTCACACATTTCGGACTGAATTTATTCATCCACCCAAAACTAGTTCTCATGTTATTTCAGAGAAAATCTCACACATCAACCATCATTAACATGGCTGTAATTTAAAAAAAACAACTTACCACCAGCTCACAAGGGAAAACCTCGTCGTCAAAACTGGAAAAGACAGATAATGTCTCAAAGAACTTCATGATGCACTGCTCCTCCTTCAGCAACGCAAACTGCTGAAACGTTTGCTGGATCAGTTTTCTCAGGTGCTTCGGCTGTTTCCCACCAGACATAACAACATTTTATCATTATTAATCAAAAATCACAAACGCTGTTAGTGTGTTTTGGATCGCTTTGCAGCCTTACTCTCAAAGAGGTCAAGGAAATGTTTGTACCTTCATACTGACGATTAATTCTTGAGGGAAGAACAATTGCAGGCCGACATCTTTCCTGACAGGAGCAGAAATGTCATCAATGCACTGTGCATATCCTTGTGTAAAACTATCTTACAGCACAAGACAAACTACTTACTCCAGCAGTTCAAAGTTAGATTTTTTCTCCAGGCCGCTGGCATTCATGTCTTTATAAAACCTCCTGTTAGAATTGAAGAAAAATTGAAGGGATGTCATTTGAAAATTACTTTTCTGCAGCATTCTATGTAATATGTTGCCTTTTATTATTACATATTAGTTATGCATTTTGCAGATGCTTTTATCCAAAGGTATATCAGTTCTTGCATTCCCTGGGAATCGAAAAACATTGGCGTTGCTAAATGCTTGAGCTACAGGAATGCCTTATTAATTGGTTTTATTTACCATAATTACCATCATTATAAAGTGGGTTCTGAAGTTATATTAATTATGGTATTTTCTTTACTTGTTTTCATGTGAAGTGCTTGGTACTTATTCTAAAGATGTTTAGTGTAAAGCACTTTAAGCTGTATACAAATAAAGCTTAGAATCATTTCTGATAATTATTAATTGTTTCAGTTGATTCCTAGCAAGATTGTTTAAAGGGTCTTAGCACGCCCTTTTGCAAGTTTTGATTTTGTTTTTGGGGTCATCGAGAATAGGTTGTCAAGCTTGAATGTTAAAAAACACATGATTTTTCACGTATCACATAGTTGCAGTTTCCAGTTTGTCAGAAACGCTTTCCCGTACAACAACAAAACTCGCTTGCTTAACTTCCATAGTACGATGCATCGATGATGAAATCAACTAGCTACTGTAGTCGCAACTGTTTCCCGAAACCGTACTGTCACAAATTTGTCGTTCAATCACGTTGGTTAATGAAGTGACGCAGGTGGTGGAGTGATAACTTATTTTAATGAATCCGTTTGAGATTAAATTGAAGGCAAGGTAAGTGATTTGTTCCAGAAATCTTTTTTGTTATGCTGGTTGAAAGTCTCTTCACATGATACTGATAGCAATCACCAAGTTAAGTGGTCTAAATGTATATATATCGTCTGTGGAAGGTGTAAGACCATAAAATGGTTGCCCAATACGATGTCCTTCCTGTAGCTATGTTCATACATCCGCGCACCTGCTCGCGCAGACATCACATGTCATCAGCGAGTTTCATGCTATGCAGAGTTAGACAGACACATGTCAGTCATCGAACACGCAACAGAAACAGCAGCCACCTTTTGTAGTTCAAACTCAAGACTACAATAGAGGCGTTTCAGGGAGTTCAGAAACAGTGTGCACTGATATAGAGAATAACTCCCTTTGGAGTGACTTTGTGCTTTGGAACTTTGCAGAGCATTACACACTAAAGTTGAAAATAAAATAATGTTCAACTTACCTGATCTCCAGACAGCCCAACTGCAGTGCCATCCCATCACTAACTCTCCTAGCACTGTGCTGCATGTAGTCACTGCGAACCTGCGGAACATCATCAAACGTACACCTTTATTCGCATTTATAGATGTGCAAACCACCATCACGCAATCAGGCAGAACTTCAGTGCTGCATCAGACATCCATGATGCTTCAGTGCAAATGATGTTCCCTTTACTATTCAGTGAGCTCTTTTAGTATATGTATAAGTGACAGGTACTGACCTGCTGGTAGAAGTAGAGCATTGTGGTTTTGTCTTCTTTTAACTTCTCCAGGAAATCAGGAGGAATGTAACGGATCCTCAAATCATATCTGATCATGATAAAAGAACAAAAACAGAGTTAGTAACATTTATATAAAAAACTGATTTTCAGAACTTTACTGAGGGTTTGGCTCAAATATATGAATTACCACTGAAAAGCAAGTTGTTGTTGTTGAAGAAATTACTATTTTTATTCAGCAAATGCGTTAAACTGACCAAAAGTAACAGTAAAGACATTTATAATGTTACAAAGGATTTCTATTTCAAATAAATGCTGTTCAACAAAGAATCCTGAAAAAAAATGCATCAAGGTTTCCACAAAAATATTAAGCAGCACTGTTTTCAACAATGAAAATAATAAGAAATGTTTCTTGATCATCAAATCGGCATATTAGAATGATTTCTGAAGGATGTGACACTGAACACTGATGTAATGATGCTGAAAATTCAGCCTTAAGTCACAGAAATAAATTAAATATTAAAATGTATTCAAATAGAAAACAGTTATATTAAATTGTAATAAAATTTCACAATAATACTCTTTCTACTGTATTTTTGATCAAATAAATGGAGCTTTTGAATGGTGGCGTATACTATGTTTATATTGAAATTTAAATGGGCAAAACATATAATACCTAAAAGTTAATGAAAATATATCTATTTATATTTATTTTAAAATTGAAAAATTGAAAAACACTAACACTTTATTTTAGGGTGACGTTTACACGTTACAACATGTACTTACTATAGTAATAATAGTAAATTATGCATAATTACTAGTCACTAACCCTAAACCAAACCCCAACCGTAACTGTATAGTAAGTAAATGTAGTAATTAATATTACTCAGTACCGTACTTATTTGAGTAAGAACAATGCAATTACCCTTATAATTACCCTTACTTTCTGCTGTATAATAATTAATAATAATAATTCATTACATTTATATAGCGCTTTTCTAGGCACTCAAAGCGCTTCACATGTAAGGGGGAATCTCCTCAACCACCACCAATGTGCAGCATCCACTTGGATGATGCGACGGCAGCCATAGTGCACCAGAACGCTCACCACACACCAGCTTACTGGTGGAGAGGAGACAGAGCGATGAAGCCAATCAGTGTATATATATATGGGGATTATTAGGAGGCCATGATGGACAGAGGCCACTGGGCAAATTTGGCCAGGATGCCGGGGTTACACCCCTACTCTTTCGAAAGACATCCTGGGATTTTTAATGACCACAGAGAGTCAGGACCTCGGTTTAACGTCTCATCCAAAGAACGGTGCTCTTTGACAGTATAGTGTCCCCGTCACTTTACTGGGGCGTTAGGACCCACACAGACCACAGGGTGAGAACCCCCTGCTGGCCTCACTAACACCTCTTCCAGCAGCAACCTGGTTTTCTCAGAAGGTCTCCCATCCAGGTACTAACCAGGCTCAGCCCTGCTTAGCTTCAGTGGGCAACCAGTCTTGGGCTACAGGGTGATATGGCTGCTGGCACACTGCTGTATGGGACACACACACACACACACAAACCTCCACTCTGCCTCGACGTGCTGCTGTTCATATTTCAGCTCCACTTCAGCTACGGTGAGGTTCGGGTGCAGCCAGTGAACCTCGTCTGATTTGAGGTGTTTGAGCAACAGACCGTAGCATTCTAAGAACATGATGTTGGGACCAAGTCGTCCGCTGTCCAGGATGGACTTAATAATTCTCTGCAGAACAAAAGACCATACGTCAGATCCCTCATTATGACAACAGAAAGATGCGCTTCATATTGCATTCATCATTAATGTGTAAAAATGCACGTTCATCTCCTCACCCTGATATTCCAGGAACTTTCACATTTGACCAGTTTGAAGTTCTTGCCCAGGTTGGCGCTGTTGCTTATAAAGCACACTTTGAGGATTTTCACCACCCCCCTGCATTTATTCCCTGTCTCGGCGGACACATGCGGGTGACCGGGAGGAGGCGGTTTCCATGACAATGTACCGGTGTCACCCGACATCTCTACACAGGTTTAACTGACTATCAGCTCTGTGGAGAGAAATACTACATTCAAGCTCAGGCATGACTATGATGCAATGGAGGAAATCAATGAGTGACAAAATATGAGGACATGAACATTTTTTAATTCTAGAGATGAATTATTGTATTCTTAGCTTCATGTCCATATATTTGCCAGTTATTTGAGATTTAGTTGTAGGTTGCTTTGTTAAGATTTTTGTTTTGTTTTACACCTGGAAATATTCAAAAACGGGAATCTGAAAACAAAGAAAAGTTATTAAATCAAATGATTAAATATTAATAATAATAATAATACTTCTATCCTACATAGAAAAGGCAATTTTGAAAATCGATGATTAATAATTATAATATAGGATGAATTATTATTATTGTTGTTAGAGTCAGCTGACAATTAAATATTAGAATTTAAGAATTAAAGTTATTAGAATTATATAAATCCTAGAAGTATATGACAGTAAGCTCAACCATCTTAAAAACAGCTTAAAATATATTTTACTTGAAACATTAACAAATAAAATATATGTAGTAAAATTTATAAAAACTACAACAATAATAATATTGATTATAATAATACTTCAACCCAACCCTCTTTTATTATTATTACTATCATTATTATTAGACTGCTGAGCATTGAATTTATAATAAATAAATAATAATACAAAAATATATATATATATATATATATATATATATAATTATTATAATGATTTAAATCTTAGAACTATCTGACCGTAAGCTTAACAGTCTTAAAAACAGCTTAAATGTAGTTTTATTTGAAACATTAAGCATTTAGTGATATATTTGATCTATTCTAAACAATATTCTGTCACATTTTTCATACATAACTCTCTTATTACAGACAAGAGTAGTAAAAGGACGTGACGTTCTTGACTAAACACATTATATTTCAACATGTTGAGACTAATGCAACATTTCCTACCTGGACGTGCTCCATGTCTTTGATGTGTGAACGAGTTTACTCCTGTGTTACCATATGATGTCTGAGTCACAGGACAGACAACATGACAAGTTAAAATAATGACAAGATGTCAAGCAGAAGCAACGGCCACTTTCAGAATATCATAGAGAGAAAATAGGAAGTGAAATGTAGCATGGTTAAGCTTTGCTAAGAGTCTTCTACTAGAAGATGAGTGCCAATCCTGAAAAACACTACCTCTATTATAATTCTCTTAAACTCATCAAAATCATCTACCACAACTCTGGTTTCCTGTCATGTGGTACAAGTTACAATATGTGTTTGGAAATTGTGAAGGTGTTAAACATTTGCCTTTGTAAAGGAAATGAGTGCTTCGCATGAAATAGAGGTACAGAGAGATGTACAGTAGAAAGTTTGAATTAACTGTCAAACCACTAAAACATTTAGTTTGAATCAAATTGCAAAATATTTTGACCATTGTTTAAGACATCAGCTGAATATTTGTGAATCATAATGACAACAAACATTCCACAACATCCATATACACACACTTCACCTGGTCAGATAGTGTCATATTTCTGACTGGGTGCTAAACACCAACATAAAAATAGAATCTCATTCTGAACATGGAAAAATCGAATGAAGTTTGTAACACATCAGCACCTATTGAACTTCCTTCTTAAAGTTACACTAGGCTTCAAGGATTAAAACTGTCATAATCTCTAATTCAAATATCGAAATGAAAATGCGTATCAGACCTGAGAATGAGCTGATGTTCAGTCCAGCTTTCTCTCACTCTCTATCTCTCATCCGGTGTTTGTTTAATTCATATGAATCTAAGAGAGAGTGAGCTGAACTCCTGACGTGAGTGTTTTGGACACACCCCACGCGTGCCACTGACTTCCTCAAACTACACGCCAGTTCAGCACACACACACACACACACACAGAGAGAGAGAGAGAGAGAGAGAGAGAGAGAGAGAGAGAGAGAGAGAGAGAGAGAGAGAGAGAGAGAGAGAGAGAGAGATCATATAAACTGCACTAAAAGCTCTATTTGTGAGGACTTCTCAGACATACTGTAGGTTTTCGTACATGGATAATGATATTTACTGTAACATCGACAGAAACATGCTGACATTATTAGGTATGAGGCAAAACACTTTACCCAGGTAAACATCTCTTCTCTTCAGAAAAAAGAGAATGATTTTCTTTGGCAGAAATCATGATACATTTTTGGCATGCATTTAAAGCTACAATATGTACGATTTTTGTAATAAAATATCCAAAAATCACTTGCACAGTGTGATATATTTCCCGCAGTTGTGTACTTACAATATCCCAAAAGTCCACAAAGATTTTTAATTTCAGAGAAATTCCAATTTTTAAATAATGGCCCGTCCCAGAAAAAAATGTCGCCTGTCAATGACGCAATATCCGCACTATCCTCGGTTTCCGCAATATCACGTGGACAAATGCGGAAGTGGTGGTTATAGCTGTTGTGTACATCATGGATCACGATTACTCTTTGGCGAGTATTGAAACTCAAAAAAAACGTAAGCGTCGTCATGGGGAGAAACGCAGAATTCTGACAACCGGAGGAATAAAACAAGGATAAATATCGGCGTGGCGTTTTCGAGATGGAGAGAGCTTCGTGACGAACTTGGGCTTGACAGAGACTTCCTTGAGACATGCTCTCGCGTGTGTATTAATAGACAGGTAAGCAAAACAATGTGAGATACATATATGACGTGACAGATAATAATGCATATGTTGATTCACCTCAAAAACTATCAAGTGATCGTTATGCTGATGAAATTTCAGTTCTCTTACGAGAGGTTCTCTCGTACTGCGTAATATCTTACGCTAGGGGAAAACCTCTTTTCCACGAGATATTGAAGCCAAAAATGATCCTTAATTTTGAATTAATGTAAAACCTGTTGCGGCAGCATGCAGACATAGGCAAATGCGGCTTGATTGCCTATTGGCTGTCCTGCGGCAACTGCAGCAGCCTATCGAGAGAGGCCCTTGGTGACGTCAGATCCAATGGGGGTGCTTCGCGCCCACTACGTCACCTCCCGCCAAAGCGGGCGTGGCCTGGGCCTATAAATATAGCTCGATGGGCTGATATAATCTGAATTTTCATCTCTTCAGCGAAGCTCACGCATCAATGGATATGGAGTTAAGAAGCCGCGCCGTCTGAGAAAAGCTTTCTGCGAGACGAGCCTTTGCATCTGAAGCCGCTGACCTTCATCTCGCCGCCTTCAGTCGCCATACCTGCTACGCTTTCCGGCGTTTATATCCTTTTTACTCTGCCGAGGGTGTGTTCGCCGCTGCAACTCACACTCTCTCTCTCTCTCTATCTAAAAGAGCAGTCAGCGACGGGGACCACCATTTCATCTGCGTTTCCTGCCTGGGTAAGGATCATGCAGCTCTCGCGCTCGCTGACGGCGGCTGCCATCATTGCGAGCTATTGCCATGGTGACTGAGGACTCGCCTGGCATTTTTCTCAGAGTCTGCACTTCCGCCCGCTACAGTGCCGCGTCGTAAAAAGCGCCATACTCAGCGGGTCCCAGAGCCTTCTCCAGCCCGTGAAAGCTCGCTGGTTCGCCCGGGAGCTTCACCAGCTTCACTCGAGTCGCTAACCCACGGACAACGGCCACTTCCGCCTTTAAAGGGATACTTCAGGATTTAGCATTAAGCTTTGTATCAGTAGAAAACCAGTAGTATTTTCGAATTACCGTGCTTCCCCCCCCCTGACATCCCCCTGATATGAGAGAAAAAAATATTTTTAGCCTGAAAAAAATCCTCCGATGACGCAAAAATCGTCATTTTGCGTCATCGGAGGATTTTTGTGCCAGAGGCTAAAGACTACAGCCACTGTTCCGCATGTTTTCACCACGCCCAAATGGGGCGGGATCTCACTCACAGAATGTAAAGATAGTGTCAGCCATCTTTCTGTAGAAGCTAAGCTAAGAGGCTCTCACCTCTTGGTCTGTGTAGAAAGTTTGTATAGTAGGCTAATCACGACGGAAGGTAGTTTTGAAGTTGAAATGGCAGAAGGGGATTTCGAAGATCTGTTGCAAGAATCTGATGCTCGCGGCTACCTGTACGAGCCGCAATCAGTGCTTTAAGTGGGCCGGTACGCACCGGTACTCAGTACCGCCACTTCCAAATATAGCTCTTGAGCGTACCGCCACCTCTCCGTGCGCCCAGAACGTGCTTTTAGCGTACCGGTACGCTCATTTACACATCTGTTTTAATCCTTTGGCTGCGCTGCCGCTTTTCAGAGCTCCCTTCACAATGCACGCCTCATAATTCGTCCCACCGAGAGCAGAGACTACATTACCCATACACCCTTGAGTTTTACAAGTGAAAAGCGCATGCGTCGCTTTTGCCGCTGTCAGTGTTAGCTGCTCGGTTAAAATACAAATAGAGCATCACAGTACGTGCCGTGTAACTGTCTGGTTAAACCCCAGGAAGGTCCGTGAAGACTGAAGATCGTGTAATGACGTAGGGCTAGCTCATTGGTCGCACGTCAGAGGCGCCCGCGCCATTGGATGTGCAGTTGCCGCAGTACAGCCTATGAGCGAGCCAGATGCTCAATGTGTTTTACATATGAGGGCTTGAGACGAAGAACCATATAAGTCCATATTTTCAAATTTTGAATAATGACATTTTTTTAATTTGGACTCTGAATATTATATTTTATTTTTTTACTTGAAGATAGACAACAAAAGTTTCACAATTCTAATGAGATAAGATTTTTTAGTATCAATCTTAAAAATAAAAAGTTAGAGTAATTTACATTTCTGGAATGTGGAAGAACAGTATAAGTCCAGTTAATGTGGAATAACAGTATAAGTCCAATTCATCATATCACTTAAACCACTGGAGATTTGATTCCTTTATCTTAGTTTTAATACAGTAACAGAACCTTAAAGAAAATATTAAACATTTCTTTCTTTCAATTTCTTTTATTTTTTTACCAACATAAATCACAGAACAAAAACACAGACAATACAGTACGAACAATGAACAATACATAGGCCTACTTATAGTACAGAAAATAAACGTCATTACAAACAATAAACCGTACATACAATCAACAATACATACAAACAATAAACAACAGTAATAACTGTAAACAATACATATTTACAATACAGACATACATCATCATCATTCCTTGCTATGGTTCCATATGCTAGTTTACCATTTTATAATACATTTCATAAATCACCCCATTCATTCATTTACTAAATAAATAACTATATATTCCTATTATACAACATAATATAAGGCATACAAGATAAACTACAACTACTATTATGATTAATTTTACACAATATACACAATATACCCCACCTTACCCTGCACATGACCTACACATACCAGGCTACTCTTCGCATTCTAATGCCCCATAAAATGCTTGGGCCTCCGGTGGCATGTAGGCTAGCATTTTCATAAGATCCCGGTGCTTCTCCTTCTTGACGGGCAGAGGGTCCTCATAAGCACGAGCATACGTGGTGGAGAACAAGGGAGCTGGAGGTGGTTGATTCTTCCTCTGTTTGGTGATCAGCCAGGTCTTCCATCCCTCGTAGAGGCTGTGGCTCCCTTTTGTGTGGACACACCATGGATCAGCAGCTGAAATCATGATTCAACAAGAAATTCAATAAAGATTCTTCTTTCACGCACATATCCCCAACACTGTTAATCTCAGAAGACCTACTCTTTTGTTTTTTACCTGTCACTTTCAACCACATCATGGATGTGATTAGCAAGCCAGGTGGACGCTTTAATGTTGCATCAGGGAGCTGCCTGAAGTCCGGACATTTCATCTCAATGACTTTGAATGGATGCTGCTGCCTGGCTCCACGGATCATCTCGGCGACATCGCTGGGGGTGTGGAGTGTGGACACCTTACGCCTCTTGTCCAGCGTGGCAAAGGAACGGTCACAGGGAAGGAAGGAGTGACCAGACACCATGAACTTCTGCTCTATCTGACTGAAGTACCCTCTAGATACGAGCAGGGCCATGAGGTTTAGGACTCGCCAGTTGTTGTTCTGCCCACAGCATCGGTCACTATAGATGACGAGCTTCCGTTCCTTTGCCTGGACTAGGGGAGCAAAAGATGTTTCTGCCCACTTCAAAAGACAGCTTGCCACCTCGATGGAACCTCTGTGAGCGATGCCCTCATGCCAGAGGCACATTGTAGGAGGATCGTCAGTGCCCATCTCCTGGATACAGAGGTTGTAGTTGGCCAGCTGCCGTTGATAGTACACGTTGGAGTGTGTCAGGTTTGGCGTGAACACTACCCCCTGCATGTCGATACAAATGACATGGCAGTCATCATTGGCTTTGGCCCACTCTGTGTCAGCCTGCAACTGGGTGTACGCTTTTTCAGCTTTCCGGTGGTGAAGCTCACTCTCGGCTGCGATCTTCAACCTTTCTCCTTCTGTTGTAGCAGCTGTTAATTTTAAAAACAGGGCGTCACATTTCGCACAAGTGTCACTTCTTGGCTGCCCAAAACTGAGGTTCTGCTGCTTGAAGATGTCCCTATAGAGCCAGAACTTTGCAGTGGATGTTGGATTGTGTTCCTTGTACAGGCGGAACATGCGGAGCAGGTTTAAATCAGGGCTCAGGTACTCCCTCTCCACATCTCCCTTCATCCGTGAGTAGTGGTTCGGTTGGCGTGGGAAGCTCAAGATATGCTCTCTTATCCCCTCTCTCACTGCAGGATGAATGCTATGAGGCCTAAAAAATAAACACCACAACTCATGAACAAGGGAAATATAATAAACTATGCTGGTCTGTTTTGCACAATTGCATTGTTTCTGTGACCATAAATGTATAATTATAAACATTCCTCTAAACTATAGGATTTTGTTTTTCAC